TGAATATGGCTCTTTGCTAACGGAGCGGCCTCTATCAAGCTCCATCAGAAATGGAAACGCTTGACTTACCTTGCCACAATATAGTATACATATATATATATATATATATATATATATATATATATATATATATAACATAGCAGTATCTCATGTTAATTCAGGTAAAAGAAATATGAGCCTATTGCTATGAACTTTTATCCACATTCATCTTGTAAAAACTTAGTATTGCTGATTACATTTTTCGCATTACGTTGCATAGTTTATTTGTATCTACGCCACACGACCAAACTCAAATTAAAAATAACATCAAAAAAAATTACCCATCAACAATCGCAAAACGTTTAGCACACATCCATAACCTTGACCCTTTTGACCCCCAGATTCAAGATCCCAATGTGTTTTCGGATGTACCCCCTATGCTCCCAAATTCAGAAACCATACGCTCAAGCCATTTAGATTTTGCGCCCACACTGTGTACGGTACGGACAGTCGCGCTCGTCTCCATTCGCTACAAACTCCATCTGACTGTTCAGCATTGAGCTCAAAATACATCAATTGATCGCCAAAAACGATTCGCGAACCACAATAAGGAACTGTTCGCACGCTCCATCTCCATACTCACGGTCGCTGAACACCTTGTGCGTATAATTTCACGAACGTTCGGAATGTTTTAGTTTCTCCTGGATGACTCCATCTCGTTAGCCTCAGCGTGTCGCTCCCGGCCCTGCCCTTCCTGCCTTCCCAAACACCGCGATTGTCGACGGTTTGATCTACGAGGTGAGCATGGCGACACGTGATGACATGTCAGGCATATATACAGCTACACAGACACGTGCGAAAGCGAGTCGTTAACGTAGTGCGAGTTATAGTGAATTCTAATGTCATTGCGAATGACGAAGCAATATTAGGTTACCATATGCATTAACAGCAATAGCGCTACTCGTACACCTAACTGCTTTAAGAGCCAAAAACGCCTCACATCGCCCCCTATTGTATCACCCTATACACTCACCCGTTTAAGAGCCAAAACATTCACCTTCATATGCCCCCTCTTCACCTCATACACTAACCTGTTTTTAAGAGCAAGAATTCCCTCACATGTCCCCCTCGTCTTCAATTCTTCCAAACACTCAACCTAGGCCTGTTAACGAGCCAGAAAATCCCTCTCCACACCCCTTCCTCTTAATTTCAAACACCTCAACCTGCTTTAAGAGCCAGAAATCCCTCTCCAACCCCTCCTCTTAATTTCAAACACTCACCTGTTTAAGAGCCAGAAATCCCTCTCCAACCCCTCCTCTTAATTTCAAAACACAACCGCTGTTTAAGAGCCAGAAATCCCTCGCTGGCCCCGCTCTTCTTCACCTTGTAGACGCTGCCGAACGCTCCTGACCCGAGCAGCTACGAAACTAGAACCGCATACTGCGATGTGGAAGGATGCGACCTCTTTGCTTCTCAGTCTGCGCGGACAGCGCCACGTGCCGCAGCGAGAGGTTGGCGAACCTCTCATCTGGCGCCAGCACGCTGTTTGACGCGAGCGACGAGCGGAGCGTACGCGGAGAGTTCGCGAACGTAGTGTCCGACGTCGATGAAAGGCCTCCCCTCGAACAACTCCGGGCCTGGAACAACCGGCCTTGAACTGCCGCGGTTTCCGCCCTCCATGCTGAACATGAAGCGAAGCGCGCGGAACGCGTTCTTCTGCAGCGAAGAACAACAGAGACGCGCGTGTTCAGATGAAAGATGATCGCATGTTAGAAAACTGTACTAATATGTTTTGCTATGATAGCGCTTCTTCTGCAAAGCTGAGCGAACAACAAGAGGACGCGCGATGTTCAGAGTGACGCGTGCTTAGAACAGCGTTTAAGCAAGTGTATGGCAGCGTTCTTCTGCAGTGAGGAACGAACAAAGGACGCTGGCAGAACAAACCCTCTCCCCGCGCGGGCACTCGGCCACACCAACCACCGCCGGGTCCTCTGTTCAATGACCGCGTGTTAGAACACGTTTCACAAGTGTATGAAGCGTTCTTCTGTAGCGAAGAAAAAACAGACATACGTGACTAGGCGCGGGGCACAATTCGTGAAACGAAGGTGAACGACGAATCGAACGCTGGGATTAGAAACCACGCACTACTGCGTGTGTACGAATCATTCTTCCACAGGACCTCGCTACGGGCAGGCAGCAACGCAGGAGCCTCCACCTGCAGTCGTTCTCCCAGTGTTTCTCTGCGCTCGATTTAGTGTCCGCTGCGCGTGGCGGGAAGGAAGTTAACGAGGAGGAGCTAATGAGGGGCGCTCACCTGCAGGGTTCTCCCAGTGTTTCTCCTGTGTCGTGCGGCGTGCGCGGTGGGGAGGAGCCTAACGAGGAGGAGCTAATAAGGGTGACCGTTGAAGCTAACCAGGGAGGCGCTAGCGCAGGGAGAGCTAATGAGAGAGGAGCTAATTGAGGGCCTGCCACCTGCAGGTTCTCCAGCTGTTTCGTCCTGCTGTCGTGCGCGCGCCGTGGGAGGAGCTAACGATCGCGGAAGGAGCTAACGAGGGAGGAAGCTAATGAGGGGCGAGGCAAGCCTAAGAGGACCTCACCGCTGCCAGGTCTCTCCAGTGCTTTCCTCCTGCGTCGTGCGTGCGCGTGGGGAGGAGCTAACGAGGGAGGAGCCTAACGAGGGCCTCCACTGCAGGTTCTCCCAGTGTTTCTTCCTGCGTCGGTGCGCGCGCCACCCGGGGAGGAGCTCAAACGAGGGTATTGGAGCCTAACGAGCGGCGAGGAGCTAACGAGAGGCCTCACCTGCAGGTTCTCCAGTGTTTCTCCTGCCGTCGTAACGCCGGCAGGCGGCGGAGCGAGCTAACGACGGGAGGAGCTAACGAGGGGCCCTCTACCTGCATGGTTCTCCCAGTGTTTCTCCTGCGTTCGCTGCACGTGCTCTGGGCGCATGAGCTAATGAGGGACCAGGAGCCCGAATGAGGAGGCCAGCTAATGAGGCGCAGGATGCAGGTCTCTCCCAGTGTTTCTCCTGTGTCGTGACCGGCGGCGCGCGTGGGGAGGAGCTAACGAGGAGGAGCTAATGAGGGAGGAGGCTAACGAGGAGGAGCTAAGCTGAGGGAGGCAGCCTAATGAGGGAGGAGCCTAATGACGGCCTCACCTGCAAGCGTTTCTTCAGTGTTCTCCTGCGTCAAAGTGCGCGCGAGAAGCCGTGGGGAGGACGCTAACGAGGAGGAGCTAATGAGCGGAGGAAGCTAACGAGGGCAGGAGCCTACGCGAAAGGGGCAGCTAATGTGGGCCTCACCTGGACAGGTTCTACCACGTGTTTCTTCCTGTGTCTCTCTGTCGCACTGGCGCGCTGTGGCGGCAGGCATGCTAACTGAGAGGAAGCTAATGAGGCGAGCGAGAACTAACGAGGAGGAGCCTAGCGCAGGAGAGCCATGAGGGAGGAGCTAATGAGGCCGCCTCACCTGCAGGTTCTCCCAGTGTTTCTCCCTGCGTCCCGTGCGCGCGCGTGCGGAGGAGCTAACGAGGAGCGAGCTTAACGAGGAGCGAGCTAACGAGGCGAGGGAGCTAATGAGGGGCTCACCTAGCCAGCTTCTCCCAGTGTTTCTCCTGCGTCTTCGCGCCGCACGGGGCGAGAGCTAACGAGGGAGGCAGCTAATGAGGGAGGAGCTAACGAGGGAGGAGCTAGTCTGAGCGAGGGAGCTTAATGAGGCGCCTCACCTGCAGGTGTCTCCCAGTGCTTTCTCCCTGCCCGCTCATATAAAAGAATAGGCGCCACACGTGCGGGAGGCAGCCTAACGAGGGAGGAGCCTAATAATGGGTTGAAGGCTAACGAGGGAGACAGCTAACTGAGGGAGCGAGCTAATGAGAGAGGATGCTAACGAGGGGCCCTCACCGCAGGTTCTCCAGTGTTTCTCCTGCGTCGTGCTAGTGCGCGTGGGATGGCATGCTAACGATGGAGGCAGCTAATCAAGGGTGAAGCCTAACGAGCTCGGGCGAGCTAACGAGGGAGGAGCTAATGAGAGAGGGAGCTAATGAGCGGCCTCACCTGCAGGTTCTCCCAGTGTTTCTCCTGCGTCCGTGCGCGCGCGTGGGGAGGACGCTAGCGAGGGAGGAAGCCTATAACGAGAAGAGGCAGCTAATGAGGGCCTCACCTGCCAGCGTTCTCCAGTGTTCTCCTCTCGTACGGCGGCGATCTCCGGCAGCAGCAGCCACGCCAGAACAGCGTAGATGCGCGTTGCCGTTGGTCGACGATGCTCTGGCTGTTTCCGTCGCTCAAGCATCAGTTCTCGAGGACTGCCCCGCAGGGCATCCGGCACGCAGCGACAGCACGTACGCCATCTTTCTCTCCTCTGCCACGCACACACACACACGCCCAACACAGTGTCATAACGACGTAGTTATCCACGTTAGCCGATTCGACATGCGCGCGTAGGCTGGAATTTCTTCATGCAGTCATATCTATGTTGAATTGAATACTATAAGTGATGTATTACTACAATATTGATAGTGTTATAACATTTATATAATACCTTAATACTCGCTATAATAATAATAATAATCAATAACAATTATTATTATATAAATTAAGACTAATAATATAATATATTATATCTATAATTGCATATATGTAAAATTACTGGTCTCGTAAATACATGCAAGGGCCTAGAACGAGCCAAAGCAATTCGACTTGCCACGCCCACGCATATTCAGCCGAAGCATGGCAAGGAGGCAGACAACAAGACTGCCCACGCGCCTAATTTAAGCCACGCAGCCGCAGACGAAACATAAAGATCACCTGCCCTTTCGTGGTGACGGACACATCGCCCGCGCCGCACGGCGGAGGGCCAGGATCCGGGACACGCTCCGCACACGCAGCACGTCCTCATCGCCCGGGAAAGCCGTCCTGGCCAGCATGAGAGAGCGCAAGATGGGATGCCTACTGAAGGGCGGATCTCGTTTGGTTGAGATCGGCGTCCTGCACGAGGTTGACAGCGTCCAGACAGTGCTTCCACACCAGCTCCACGCTTGCCGCTGTGGCCCCAGCAAGCTCACGGACGTGAGGAAAGGATTGTAGCATGAATCACTGCCGTGCCGTCATGACCACTCGTGAGGCTACGGACGGGACGCCGGTAGTATGCAGAACGGTGCTTCCACACCAGCTTCCACGCTGGCAGCAAGCTATGGGACGGTAGGAGAGATAGTCAGGAGTCTGCCTAACCATGTTAGGAAGGAAACGACGGAATGGAAGACGACAACGTGCGTTTCATCGACTACACTCGCCGCACTAACGGGATTAGCGAAGCGTCAGTTGCGCCCCGGACGCGACGGTCAGACGGTCTGCCACTCACGTTAGAAGCGCAAACCGCCGCCGCTGTGCAGCAAGCCATTACGGGTTGATGGGAAGATAGTTGCGCGTCAGGAGTGCGACGGGTGTACATGCGTATGGCGGCGCTATGCTAAGCTATCCGGCTATCTACGACATTCTAGGTCAAATGTGACGCACAACAGCGATGGCGCCTAGGCTGACGCAGGCGTAGGCGCAAATTAATCGCTGGCTCGACGTAGCAACATTTCGACTACGCAGTATAGATGTCGCAATCAACGCATCATTAATGAGAGGTTTATGTTGATTTAGTTTGTTAGGAATGTTACCTTAGTAGAGTGGGCACAGCCGCCACGGCATACAAAGTTTTCACGGTCCTCCCGTCCCACAGGCTGGGCCAGCTGATAACCTTAGAAGCTGAGCAGGCAAGCCTAAACATAAACAGCGTAAGCCAGCATTAATCGATAATAAATCAATTTTCTCTGAGTATTTCGAATTACTATCGAATTTCGTCAAGCAAGCCGTCGATAGCACCGCCACACACGACATCACAAAAAATGGCCATAATGTGCGCAATTGAAATTTCAATATCGATATAAAAAAATGGAATTCAAATAAATATACGAGATATAATTTGATACATCCGATTATAAAATAAGCTTAGATTGTATTTCATGCTGACCGTAAACAAATTCAGCGATATCCGATACATTGATTACAACGCGAAATCCATGGCGCATCACCGATTAGGACCTTTCCGGCACAATCATCGTTCGCACCTCTTAAGGAGAATTAAATCGTAGTGCTGCAGTATCTTGAGCAGGGATTCGGCTGACGTTGATGCCTGCCAGAGGCAGCCGGCACACGCTGCGTCCTCAAGCTATGCTTATTGAGAGCACGCAAGCACACATGCCTGCCAGCACACTCACGTCTCTCGCTCGCCAAGCCAGCACACAATGATGCTGAAGGGGCAAATCAAGCTGACCTTCTGTAAACGTCGCGCCACATAACAAACTTTGAGGGGTTAAGGCATACTGTTGAGGGTTGCGTAGTAGTGAATTTCGGTCTAAATTTCCATACACTTTATTGGATAGATAACCCGCAGCCATGGGCAGCCTATGCTATACATTAGAAATTATGTATGTAGCTTTCCCAACAGTTCCAAATCCACCGCCATATGTCCAATTCTTTACACAGGCGCTTCAATGATGGGCTAAATTTAGCAATAAGTGCACTGATATCTCGGTTAGCTTAAAAAATTGCCTAAAGTAGGTGATTTTTCAAGCGCTATTACTCGAAATTCGCAACTTTTTGCCGTCAATTAATTAGCGATGAATTAAAAAAAATAATAATTTCATCTGAAGAGCTAGAGAGAATCTCTTCCTATCGTAATGGCAATGAGTTTGATTGATTATGATGCAGCCAAGCTGTGTAGCAATGCCCTTTAGAGTGTTTACCGGGTCAAGTAACATTACAGTATCCTATAATGAGGTAATTATTCATTCATCCGTGATAGTTACATTCTACTTATCGTGAATAGTACATCTATTATAGTGAATAGTTACATCTATATATAGTGATAGTTACATCTTATTATAGTGATAGTTAACATCTATTATAGTGATAGTTACATCTATTATAAGTGGTAGTTACAATCTATTATAGTGATAGCTTACATCTATTATAGTTGATAGTTACATCTATTATAGTCGATAGTTACATCTATTATAGTGCATAGTTACTACTAAGCTTACATCTATTATAGTGATAGTTACATCTATTATAGCTGATAGTTGCCATCTATATAAGTGATAGTTAAAAATCTATTATAGTGATAGTTACATCTATTATTAGTGATAGTGTACATCTATTATAGTGATAGTTACATACTATTAATTAGTGATAGTTACATCTATTATAATGAGATAGTTACATCTATTATAGTGATAGTTACATCTATTATAGTGATAGTTACATCATATATATAGTCGATTAAGCTTACATCTATTATAGTGATAAGTTACATCTACTTATAGTGAATAGTATTACATCTATTATAGTGATAAGTTACATCTATTGTTACTGAACCTTCCGTTTCCACATATCACACATTTCACTACGCTCACACTATCATGCGCTTTGGCAGCGCCGCGTAAATTGCCGCAAAATAGTTAGAACACAACCCTCACCCCATTTAAATTTACTCTTGCGTTCATCTCACAGATATTTAAATTGTCAATAACAAACGTTACATAATTATACTTCATACTATAACGCCGTAATATATTTGACTTCTAACTCAATTTTTACATCTCCAGCACCAACATCTTTTCTCAAAAACCCTACTTGCAGCCACCCTCACATAATTTCGGGATGTATTTTTCATTTCTAAATGTTTACCCTACTACATGAAACGCCCTTTATCCCATCTCGCACAAACACCGATGAATGCTCCTCGAATATGCATGCTTAACAGTGGACATACCCGATTGTACTTTGGCATCTACTAGCGCACGCCCATCTGCCCTTGCACTGCAGTCAAACTTCGGACAGACGCTTGCCGCCTCCGTTCAACCAGTTCCCGCGCCACACGGCTCGCCAGGCAACGCTGTCGCCGGTGGGCAACCCGCCCGTAACCTTCTCCAGCCACCTTTTACGGCGACGGAAACAATCCATTACATTCATCATCACGACGAACAAGCACTTTAGCTCGCGCGCATTAAATGCGATACTTACACCCTAGACAATTTTATGGGATATTATGACTTTAATCATTCAGTAAAGTGCATAAATAATAGCCTACTATAAGTTGCGATCCGCCCCCCAACTTTATTTCTCCTTGTTACATACGAGGGCTAACTCACCAAACAGTTGCAATTCATATTTTATACCTAACGCCCTATTTAAACTAAACGAGTTTATTTTAGGATAAATTCATGTCCATATTATAACTGAATCTAAAGTTGTTTATAAAAATTCGCGAATCCTCTATCTTTCTAAATAAATAAATAACGCTTACCACGAGTGCGTCTCCACTTTTCATCGCCATTTCTTCATCATTCAGAACACGTCAAAACTGATACTGTACTTATTGTAAACAGGTGTCTATATACTATATGCGTCTTTAGAAATCTCACTAGACAAAGACAAGTTAACTCGCACAGCTAACCGCCCCTTACTCCGCGAAGACTGCCCTCAGCCGTAGGAATATGCAAATACCCATCAAATCATACAGGCGGACGCACCATCACGACAGCGCAGGAAGGCGACGGAAGCCGGCAGCCAGACGTTATCCGCCCACGCAACTCATCGCCAAGCCAGAGTCCCAGCATCGACAGCGAGAGGAAACCTTCCCTTCCTTTCAGCGTACGGCCGTAGCGCCGCCCCGGAGGAATGAAGATCATCGCGCGCTTCCTGTAAGCCGACAGCTGCAAGCAATGCCGCAGCAGGGAGCGAGAGCGAAAGCTAATCAGTGCACGCCGAAAAGTAACACGCTTATGGGATTTCTAAATAAATTATAACTGAGAGTAAACCGCAAAGAATTTGCGTATAAATATATATTAGGAAAGTATATTAACCCCATTAGTAATAATAAATTAATACAATCATCAATCATAAAATAAGTAAAATAAATAAATAATAAAATAAATGGCAAGGTTTGGCCTATAAGCTTATAATGCCCATAAAAAGATGATAATAATGACCAAAAAACAGGCTGACAACTGCTGCTAAAATCTTCTAGACACTAGTAATATTAAAAAATTGTTTATTGTACCTACACATTTAGGCCTACCTGCCCAAAGTTACATATTTAGAGGTATTAAAATAAATTTCTTGCCAAAATTTACGCTTTCCTGATGAGAGCTACTATTAACCTAAATTCTGCCAATACATTGATCTTCCTATAGACAGATTTAATCAGGTGTACTTAAGGGCTTGTGATAAAGATGTGTGTCGTGCTTTCTGCTACAAATACTCTCTTTTCTCGATGCTGTATTGGAAGTCTCCTAGGGAACAGATTTCCCCAATTATAAATTGTACATTTACATCACAGCCATACAATGTCAGCATTAGATTGAAATTATGAACTTTTCTAGACACATAATCTTAACATGGGCCAACCTCGTGGAATTAAACTTACAGTACTGGACCACACTGGATAGATAACAGTGGTTAATCTTATAATGCCTCAGACATTCAGAGCTTGCCTTAGTAAAGCTCGAGAGCGGTACCTATGTCCCAGCGCGTTAACGCCGGAACGTACCCTGGTACGCCGTCGGTATACCGCGAACGGTACCCTGCCGGGATACACATCTAATATGCCGGACCGTACCTCGCCTACTTCCACTAACCGAGCTCTTAGGGAGTCGCCTACGCCTAATTCCTAACCCGAACCCTTAATCCTAACCCTAACCCTCAATCCTAACCCTAACCATATTCAAATAGTGCCACCACTAGGCCAGGCGGACGGATGTCCGCGGCTTATACCGGAACCAGCTACCAGGGTATGTTTCCGGCAAGCTACCCTGCGGGGGACATAGACCCTATGAGCCTTAGTAAACAATTAATTCATGCTAATAATGTCACCAACTTTACATAGAAATTTCACACAAGATCTAACCGCAATATCAACCACCCTCTCCACTTACCTGTTTCAAAGCACTCCCACTTCTTCCCGAGGTAATTATTAATTTCAGCATATCTTTTTCACACCTGGAGATATGAAATCAGACAATTACTTCTGTTAATTGAAATTATGTCTGTTAATTAAGTTCTAATTAAGAGTCTATTTTAGCACTGAATTCTTCCATAGCTATAGAAAGTGAACCTGTATTAAAAACATGATTAATAACACTTTACAACTACATAAATTGCTCTAACTGTAAATTGCTTTTACTCATTGAAACATTATGAAATGAATGAAAATATTTCATTTTGTTATGGACTTCAACGCAATGGATTTTCAATTATATATGCGATGCATATGAGAGTTATGGGGTTTGGTACCAGGAGAAGGATATCAGTTTTACCCACACACACACATCACCGTTTCAGTTTTACGGTACTGATGAATGAATACAGCTGACTTATTGAACCAATGCATAACGAGGCTACGAGCAGAAAGCATTTTACAATTGAGTAACATGCTACAACTGCAACAACAAGACACTCGATCTGTACTGACCACTGCAAACTCTCCCCATCGGCCGCGGGTGGCTGTTCCGTCGGGCGGGCCATTCGTACAGGCTGGCTGAGAGCGCTGAAGCACACGGTGACTGCGGTTTGGCTTACGCCGGTTGAGCATGTCCAACTCTGTAGAAAACTTCATGTGTGTATCTCACCGATACACCATATTTTAACCTGCACATGTAAAAGCCATAATGATAATATAATCTCTATACGTATAACCTTATAAGTGTACGCACAGTAATCATACACATGATGTAAATTGCAGGTTCATGGTTGAGCTTCAGTAATTAATAATATACACAATAAGTTAGTTAATTACATTATAAATTGTTATAAGATCAATGTTTATCGGTTGCCACACATTATAGGATACGGCCAGCGGGATGTGAAAATGTTTAATTCAGTAGATGTACGCTATTTTAGCTACGCTATCGGTATCAGAATTCAACTCATATCTTACAATTACGCCATCTTTGTTGTTATTGTGGTTGGCACGTTGCTAGTTTGCTACATTGTATCAATTTTCGTACCATACGTTTCGCAAAACGTGTACTGCCTATTTCATGACGATATTCGTACAATCAAGAGAGAATGAGCCTAAGAACAATATGTAATATTTTAAGATCATAAGTAATAAAGGGGTCTTCAATAGCAAAAAAGGACAAGATTGTATTAGTTGTTGTCTCCTACTACTAGGTGGCAGGACTATAGCGAAGTTGAGTTGTGAGTATTTCCGTTTCGTTTTTTACGAGTGATTTCAGTTCAATTACGATTTCAGTTCAATTAAGTGATCATTGATGATGTTGATGTTATGTTAGAGTTAATGTTAGTGTCACTGTTAGTACTCCCTCTGCAGTACATGATGACAGTGTAGTGCGTGCCTAGCATAAACAAAAAAACATAAAAACAACAGCAAATGTTTTATGTTGTTCCACAAGGCACAACGATTTCTAATCATTTGCATTGCAAGGGCGTAAATCGTAAGGCTAAGGTAAGGGTGTCAATTTCCCCTCTGGCGTAGAGGGAGGGTGCCGCTACGTGGCAGCACTAATGTTAGGGTTAGGGTTAGGGAAATAAGGCCATGTCTGGCATGGAAGTATGACTGTGTAATGACGGAAGTGTACGAAGTGACTAGTGCGGCCCGTCACGTAGCTGCACCCTCTCTCTACGCCCGGGGGAAAGTGACACCCCTAAGGTGAGGGCTTTCTAAGTCAGTATTATTTTGACTTGATCGCTATTCACTCAACCGAGTTAAGTGAATGACACATGTCTGCAAATTTGGAAGGTAATAATCTAAAACAAGAATAACGTTTTGCTGCATGACATTGATAATGAAGGTGATCTTGCGTTTCACGTCTTCGATCTTTCTCTCGTTCAGTTTGACCGAGTCGGCGAACATGGTCGATGTCGTCCGTCATCATGGCAACCGCACCTGCCGGCCGTCCTGACCGGCAGGATGCCATCTCGCCTCGTCCGCCTGCTGCTGCCGCTGCGCTGTCGCGGTCACGGCAGCGACCAGGGAAGCGGACAGAGGATGGACATGCTGAGCGGCATTCGCGTGGCAATGCTGCTCCTCACCATGGCAACGATGGTGTTCGTGCTAACCCACATCCTTCTATACTCAGACTCGCTGTCTCCCGTCGCCGTGGAACGCGGCGGCGGGGGCGAAGCGGACTATGGCTTCGTCGATAGGAAGCAGCACACCGGTTCTACCGTGAGATTATTTCAGCGCGTTTGCCGGGCTGATCGACGTAGTTTAGGTGAGGTGTGGCGATGTCGTCGCGGCGGTGTGCGTCTGGCGTGCGGTCACGTGCGTGTTGTGGTCGTAATTGTATTGTCTCTCAGCCTCAAATTATGGTGCTGTTAAAATGATGAAAAGGGACTTTTTGAACACTGGGAATTTAACACAACTTAATCATTAACATTGTCAGTGTCGTGTAACCCCCAAGACTAACTAACCAGTTCTGTACATTGTCGGCGAAGCAGGTCGTTGCATTACTATCTCGAGCGGTGGAAAGTGAAATATAACTGTTTTGATAATCGTGGTCTTATAACCTACGGGCATATCTGAAAATTGTGTATTTTTTTCTAGTTCGGCTCATCAGGGTTGATACCAATGAATCTCCAAGTATTAGTAGTATTATCCGTGATAATCCGCACCTCCAGCCAGGTGGTAAATATGTGCCAACTGGCTGTCGCTCACAGCAAAAGGTAGGATATATTATAAACTATGCATCATATTGCTTATATATATGTATCAGGGTTTCTCCCCACGTTGCGCAACGGGGCGCGCCCCTACCGTTTGGAATAAACTCCCCCGTTTGAATGCGTTGCGCCCCGTTGAATTACTCCGCCCACGTTTTGAAATTCACCACAATAAAGTTTGACAGCGCGGAATCGATTGTCAAGACAAGTCCCACCAGGATACCGGCGCGTGTTCTTTTACAGTACCACCGCCTGCATGCAGACAATATTAAGTCAACTGTCGCACGCACAACACTAACTGATACACCGTCACACCGACTCGGCATATATCTTTATATACAAGAACCCAGGCTTTCAGTATTTGAAAAGTTACAGGAGGACTCTAATGACTCCCTAGAAACCGGATAGGGGGACTTTTCACGCTCCATAATCACACGCTTAAGAGGCTCGATGGAGCAGCTCCATTAAAATCACACCTTAAGAGGCATGATGGAGGCTCCACTAAAAATCACACCCTTAAAGGGTCCGCCATTCTTAAAGGTTGCCATACGACGAAGCGCAGTGCTCAATTTTTAAGGTTTTTTTTTGGGTTGTCCGAGTTGTCCTCAAGAGTTTTGTTTGTCCGGATATTATTTAAAATGTGCTGCATGCGCATCTGCTAACGTATGCTCAGTGCTGTAAGCAAAAGGCCTATCAATGTCATTTTGAGCCGTATTTGCAGTGACAGCAGACATGGCCATTCCATTGTTTCACTATCCTTATATTAAGATAATAAATATTGGTAATGTTAAATGCAGCTCATGGGATCAAATGCTATAATAATAGTAATTAAAGTTGCATAAAAATTTTTATTTCATATTTACATTAACTATAACACTTACATCTAACATTCTACATTACTACACTGTATGAGTAGTGTGTTCAAGTCACAGAGCTGAGCAATATTGAAATTAACACGAAACATTGTGTTGTTAAACAGTCATGTTTACTTTGTATCAAAGCAAGCGCACACCATGGTCTAGACATGTAGTTTGCACAGTATTGTGCAACCTGGCCGTTATGTAAAATGAACGCGCGATTGAGACTTATAACATTTCTTATAGGAGTATGACACCGGGACACCACGGAAGCTTTGTAGTTGCGACCGAGAGAAAATCCAGTCGGCGACGTGCGAACCGCCGAACTGGTTGGGAAATTGGAGCCGTGCGAAGGGTATGAAGTTGTCATATACTCATTGGTCCTATGCCGAACGTAGGTTCGGCAGATAGATACTCACTCAGGGCTCGCGATCCATTGCCAACATTGACAACTCTAATGGACAGGGAAAGACTAGCTCAATTAATTTAGGGCACGCGTGACGCGGCTTTTGATGTACACCGATCGATCGGACAACGACTTTGAGTGCAGCGCGATTTCAACATTTTGAGGCGCTTGATGATGCGCAGACATGGCACCCATTTTATGGTGCGCGGTGGAGCTGGAGGGGCGATCCGCGCCCCTTAAAAATGAAAGTGAGACCCCAAATACCGTCTATGGTGTGGTAGGCGATTTTAATTAATTATGGTACGGTAAAAAACACGCCCCCCTAGTTCCCCCCCTGCCCCTTCCCCCCCTCCCCCCATGTTGAATTTCATCCTGGGGAGAACGCTGTGGTACTGTATGTATGTATGTATGTATGTATTGTATGTATGTATGTATGTATGTATGTATTATGTAGTGTAGTGAACTGAGTGTTGGAGATCCGGTCCAAACTTTCATGATTGAATCATCGTTTGTACAACGGACCTGATGATCTATAGTCTGATTTTAGATTGCCGGCGACGACCGCGTGACGCCGCGTCATCGGTCGACACAGACACCGGTGTTTATGCGAAGGAATTATTGACATTTATTGTTATGGTAGCTAGTATTTATTGGTAAGTAAATTAAAGATACTGTAGGCGTTACAGACGGGTAGCACTCTAAAGGGCATTGCAACATAACTGCTCATCAAATTCAATAAAAAAAAAAAAAGTTTGAGTTGTACTCGGTTGTCCGATTTTCTATTCGATTAAGGAATGAAAACTACTGCTGTCTTAAATAGATTACTAAGTACTAGTTTTAAAAAGGGTATCATGGCATAATTCGACGCACCTACGATGGCATAATTTATGGGGCGATTTATTGTAATCCTTCCACATTACAGGTTGCCATAATTATACCGTATCGAGATAGGTGGCAGCACCTGCGTCTGCTGTTGAAGCACCTACACCCGATGCTTCAGCATCAAATGGTTGATTATAGGATTTTTGTCGTTGAGCAGGTAAGTTCATCTGAAAATAATTTGCAGTACACGGTCAACTATTGCATAATTGCACTGGGTTGTCACACGGCAGAATTTAATATCACTTCACTTCGTTAATGCTCCAAGTCATTAATGTCTTGGCAGCAGTAGTCTTGTAATCAGATTCGCAGCAGTAGGTAATTAAAAACACATAACGTGATCGTCTGTAGTTTCGCAACTTTGGCGTGGTAAGAAACCTTGTCATCTGTTTATGACATTGCGATTCTATCTGCAACTGCACGTTTATCGATTATCCAGGCTGGACAGAATATCTTCAACAAGGGCCTAATCATGAACATCGCGTTTGACGTAGCGACGAAGTTGGAGGATTTCGACTGCTTTGTTTACCACGACGTCGACCTAATACCCGAATCAGAGTTGAACCTCTATATGTGTAATAGTCAGGCCAGGCACTTGTCGCCTGGGGTCGACCAGATGAGATATGTGTACGTCAACTTATTACAGAGACTTACTACTTACATCGTGTCAACATCAGCGCGACAATTTGTGCACGCAATGGTGTTTATTCTAATATGCATGTCTGTCCTAGTTTATTTTTAGCTGCCGATTCTAGTGTGCGATTATATTTGTTTTTGTCCCATTTGCATATTTGCACTTGGGATATGCGATTTCTCGTTGCCGGTATCTGCTTTTCTGTGCGTTAGTTTTAAGTCGGTGTGACAAAACCAATGACGAGGTGCTTGCCTGGGAGTTCCGGCTGTGTTTCGTGAGCTCAATAATCATTCTGCTGTTGTTACACTTGCCTCTGTTTTTGTCGACAGACTGATGTACAACAGATTAGCCGGCGGGGTTTTAGCCCTGAGACGGTCTCAAAACATACAAGTGAACGGCTTTTCGAACATTTATTGGGGCTGGGGAGCGGAAGACGACGACATGTCGCGAAGGTGCGCGCCACCTGGTGGTCAATCGTGAGGATGGTGAAATAAGAGAGCGAATAGGATGATAGTTTGACAACAATTTTTTACATTTCATTGCGTATTTCTTTTGTGTAAATTGGTTTGATCGGGCGAGATGTGTGTAAGAAGTCGTCTGTCTTTCGATGTAATAAAACGATGGGTGTGTCAGGAGTGTACATCCGACGCGGTGTCAGCAGTAGCGCTAACTATGTAGACAATGTGAACTATCGACCTCTATATTATATATATATATATATATATAGAATGACGTGATGCAGTTGTACTACCCTAAACTTTTACGTATGTATGTTTTTTTTAGGATTTGGATTCGGGCTGTTGATAACGAGACCGCCCAATCACATCGGACGTTACAAAATGATCAGTCATCAGAAAAGAGAGGCGGCGACAAACAGGTGGGTCCAATCAACGTAATCTGGTCCGATCGGCACTTTCCCGGGTGCTCGTCGGTTCGCTACGTAGTTGCTCTCAAAAGTATCGCGATACGTATCGTATCACGAAGGCCGTATCTTGATATGGTTCAGATTGTGAAGGCTGTATCGTGGTACGTATCGTATCGTGAAGGCTGTATCGTGATACGTATCGTATCGTGAAGGCTGCATCGTGATACGTATCGTATCGTGAAGGCTGCATCGTGATACGTATCGTATTGTGAATGCCTGTATCGTGTACGTATCATATCGTGAAGGCTGTATCGGATAGCGTATCGTATCGTGAAGGTGCATCGTGATACGTATCGTATCGTGAAGGCTGCATCGTGATACGTATCGTATCGTGAAGGCTGTATCGTGATACGTATCGTATCGTGAAGGCTGCATCGTGATCGTATCGTATCGTGAAGGCTGCATTCGTGATACTATCGTATCGTGAAGGCTGATCGGTACGATCGAGACCCTGATACGTATCGTATCGTGAAGGCTGCATCGTGATACGTATCGTAATTGTGAATGCTGTATCGTGATACGTATCGTATCATGAAGGCTGCATCGTGATACGTATCGTATCGTGAAGGCTGCATCGTGATACGTATCGTATCGTGAAGGCTGTACATCATGATACGTATCGTATCGTGAATGCTGTATCGTGATACGTATCGTATCGTGAGCTACCCGTATTGTCCACTCGTTAGGGTTCACACGAGCGTAATATCAATGAACCGCTGACGTCGAATCGATTCCCGCATGCTCGTCAGTTGCTAGGTAGTTTCTCTTGAAAGTATAACGATACGTATAGCATCGTGAAGGCTGTATCATGATATGGACCGTATCACAACCTACCCGCATCGTCCTACCTCCTAGGGGTATTCACGCGAAGGTAACGTCGAATAACGGCTGATGTCGGATAACGTTTCCCCGCAGGATGGATCTGCTGAGTAAATGGCGACGCTGGCGGAAAGACGGCATCACACACTGAAGAATCTGAACTACAGCGTCGTCGCGGTCGCGCCGAGCAACCGCTGTACACAAACATCACCGTCGACATCGGACCGCCGCCGCTGTCGCACCCAGAGCTGGCAAGCGTAGCCAGCGCAAAGTGGTACTGGGTGTGACGCGTAGGCACCAGCGGCAAATGCTGGGCAGAGCTGGGCTAGAGCCTGAGCCAGGGGCAGAGCTGGGCTAGAGCAGAGCAGGGGCAGAGCTGGGCTGGAGCCAGAGCAGGGCGAGCTGGGCTAGAGGCAAGAGCCAGGGGCAGAGCTGGGCTAGAGCCAGAGCCAGGGGCAGAGCTGGGCTAGAGCCAGAGCCAGGGGCAGAGCTGGCGAGCGTCACTAGTGCAAAGTGTGCTGGGTGTGATGTGCGCGCGCCAATAGCAAAAATTTTGTTATCGGAAACAAAATTTTAGTCTTAATGTTTTAAATTTAATGTCCTAGACATTAAACTGTGTCGCGCAGCAGGGGCATGCGATGCTACACAGAGAGGGGGAGAGAGGCAAGCGGCACAGAGATGAGAGAAGAGGAGACAGCAGATTTGTGGCAGATCTCTAGACGTATGGTTGGTGAAATGTTGGATTTTCGGCGAGTGTACACACGCGCCCGCAGAAGAATAAATAGCTGTAGGCTAAATTGAGCGTATAATATATACGAGTGTACTTCCTACCTATTAAGGTATAACAGCTTAGATAGCAAGAATTTTATGCTGAGATGGCCTATGTAACACATCTATAATAACTTTCCCTCATTACCTTGACTGTCGACAGAACATGCCGGTAAAAGTTATCGGCGTTTCTCACCTTGGCGCGGATGTAACCAAGGTTCGAGTCGTACGTATACGAGAAAGATTGATGGTTAGAGAGTAATCGTGGAGACAGATTTTGTGGTTCTGACAATGTGCCACTCAGGATCGCCGCGCGTCGTGATTAGGAACGTAAGAGGGTACGAGCAGCGTGTCTTTGCACAGTCCCGCTGCTTATTTTGCCGACTGCAGTGCTTTGCGGTTTGAATTCTTGCGATTTGCAGCATTTTTCTTCTGCCATCGCTTGACTCAGTGCCATGTGCATTTACGGGTGAATGCGTTATGCATGGCAAACCTGTCATATTGCTGTGAGTGTGTTCGGGGTGAGGAAAATAGGTTTTCTGACGTATAGACCTAAAATTAACGCTTTGCAACCCGCTGGGAAGTTATTGCAGTAGCCATAGTAAACACTGCAATAATGTTCGTGGCAAAGGCGTTCCCACATTTTAAAATGTTGGAAGGTATTTCAAACAACCGATTTCCATGATATGAGTAATAGGGTTGGTCGTGATTCTGTATTTGTATACTTATATATACTTATAGAGGAGATGCGAGAGAGATTTATGTGATTCAGTGTCATTTCTTGCACTCAATAAAACGCCCAACAAAAATCTTGAAGAGCGTCAACAATGCCGTCTAACTTTATTAAATATTATTTTTTTCATTTATAAGCGTTCTTGTATTATTTATAACCATTCGAATACGATGCCGTGTAATAAAAAAATCGAATCGCATAATTCGTGCCGCGAATAGAAAACTTTGAATATAAACAGCGTAACTTTTGTGATATGGCAAGCATCCAAACAAGCGTGATACCATAGATACAATACAAACACATGTGTAGTGTGTTGTATATCTTGGGGGTGATACAGTCTAACAAAACCAACTGAGATTTCATTCGAATCAACAATTACATCCAGCAGACGAAAGCGTGCTACGTCATGGAGCGAAGCGTCGGGATTCGCCAACGGTTACCATGGTTACTGTGCGGGCATGAACTGCCGCAGCTTTCGCTCTCACTTCCCTAAATCTCTCCGCGATCGTCCTGCCAGTCATCGTCGCTTCATCCTGATCCGCGTCGTCAGAACGGCACTTGTTTCGTCCACCTGGCGAGCGTGGCGCGCCGCTGCGGGATTCCGTCTCAGGGTGCGCCTTCATCTCCGTCTCTCTTAGCAGCATCTTCGTTGCGTTGCAGCAGGAGAGTCTCCCTCCGCTGTGTGCGTAGCGGCGGCGGCGCGACTTCCCGGCGGCGCTGTATTGGAGAGTCCTAAGAGGAGAAGCGTCGCCGGAGTTATAGGTCACTAGCGATGGCGCGCATGACGTACAGGTCACAGTGGCGGAGTAGAGATAGGCGAATTGCCCTCACAATGTCGGAGCGGAATAAAACATTGTTGTAGGAAATTATAAATAATAATAATAATAATAATAATAATAATGAGATGATGATGATGATTATATATATATATATATATATATTATACTATGTAATGTATAGACAGACATGTTCACCATTACTCTCTCCCTTGCACGCCTTCATTAATTACCCTCATTTCTCGGTCGACCTGTTTCTCGTGCATGTTGTGCAGGGAAGCCATGATGTTAGCCTGAGGAAGCATCGTCGTCGACTGCGACGGACCCCACGCCGACTTACGTCGCTGCTGCACGTGTGGGGGCGCCACCTGTCCCCACATGGACTGTCGCCTTCCCTGCTGGCCGCCGTGTTCGGTCACTGTAAACGACTCCGTTCATTCCGTATTATTTTTATCGGTATGTAAATTATTGTGTCCATCTGAGCGGAGTTATCATGCAGCATCCTACTTGGATATTAATTTTTGCGCGTGTTCCAGCGCGCACGCGCCAGTTTGTCGAGTTTGCGACACTTCGTTACTAAGTAACGTTTTTAGAACGTCTCTATCGCAGCCCGGATTGGCTAGAACTGCCTGTCAATCACCAGCAGGTGGATATTGCGGGTAAAAAAACATTTTTTCTGAATACGACGGCCAATGATAACCGTCGACGTATCGTAGCTTACGTTGCTGATGTGACGTAATGCGATGCAAGGCAGGTCCCGTGATGCCGTACAGACTGGACTTTGACGTCACTGCTTTCGGTCCTTTAAGATGCATGACGCTCGCTTTACTTTTGCCCGTGCTGAATACGAAAGAGAGAGAGAGGAAACAGAGTGCCACCGACAGCTACAGAATTGTCATGATATATGTCTATATTATATGTCTATGTCATATGTCATATGTCATATATATATAGATATATATATATATATATATCACATGTCTTATGTCTATATTATAATACTCCTGCTACTATCATGTAGGACTAACGAGAATAAATAATATTCCATTCAAAGCGCAACAGAGGCGTGATTTAAATGTATCGGATAGAATTTACATTTGGCAATAATATATAATTGTATTATAAAATGTTTTTGACCGAGTATAAGACGTGGGATAAATAATTCATTCGTCTTTATAAATGTCCATTATAGTCTTAACACGACTCCCCTTATCTGATCTAACAAGATCTGATCCCGATATTATTCATGTCCGACATTTTCTTTTATCGTCTGTCATCTCACCTGTGACATTTTGCGACGGAGGTGAGAAGCTTCGTGACTCTCTGCGGAGTTTTCTCCTCTCTGGAGTGTTGTTCGCAGGTGAAGCCGTGCTCCACCTCTCTCTCCTGGTCGTCACCGTGCCGTAGCACGAGAGAAGGTCGACTACAGACACCTGTATAAATAAATAGACAGATAAATTAATCAATCAATAAATACACAAATAAATAAATAAATGTGCGTGTGTGTGTGTGTGTGTGCGTGCGTGCGTGTGTTTCGATAACAAATTTTTGCTATTGGCGCGCGCACATCACACCACACCCACTTTGCCACTAGTGACGCTCGCCAGCTCTGCCTCGGCTCTGGCTCTTAAGCCCAGCTCGGCCCCTGGCTCTGGCCTCTAGCCAGACTTGCCGCCTGGCTCTGCCTTCTACCCAGCTCCTGCCGCTGCGACTCTGGCTCCCAGCCAGCTCTGCCCGTGCTCTGCTCTAGCCCACAGCCTGCCCCTGCGCTCAGCTCTAGCCCGCTCTGCCCAGCATTTGCCGCTGGTGCCTACGCGTCACACCCAGTACCACTTTGCCTGGCTACGCTGCAGCTCTGGGTTGCGACAGCAGGCGGCGGTCCTTCTTTCTCATCTATCCGACTGTCGACGGTGATTGTTTGCTGTACGCGCCGTTGCTCGGCGGCCGACCAGCACGAACGCTGTACGTTCCAGGATTCTTCCAGTGTGGTGTGCACTGGCGTCTTTTCCGCCAGACGTTCGCCATTTGCTCGCAGCAGACCATCCTGCGCGGAAACGTTATCCGACATCAACGCTTATTCAACGTTACCTTCGCGTGGACATACCCCTAGGGTGAGGGTACGACCGATGCGGGTAGCTAGGTTGTGATACGCGTCATACATCGATACAGCCTCACGATGCTATGACCCGTATCGTTATACTTTCAGAAAAACAAACTAGGCAACTGACGAGCATGCGGAAATCGATTCGACGTCAGCGGTTCATTGATATTACGGCTTGCTCGTGAGAACGCCTACGAGTGCGACGATACGGTTAGCTTTCACGAATACGTACGTAATGCACGATACAGCTTCACGATCATACGTATCATGATGTACAGCCTTCACGCATACGATACGTATCAACGATGCAGCCTTCACGATACCGATACGTATCAACGATGCACGCTTACTGATACGATTACGGTATCACGGATCAGAGCAATTCCTACATACGTTCAACGATACGCTTCACGATGCAACTATGCAGAGTAGCATTACGTATCATCGACTTCGTCGTCACCGATAACAGCCTTCACGATAGATACGTATCAGATGCAGCCTTCACGAATACGATACGGTACTCACGATGAGGCCTTCACGATACGATAACGTATCACGATGGCAGGCCTTCAGCGATACGATACGTTATCAACGATGCCAGGCCTTCACGATACGATACCGTATCACGAATGCAGCTTCACGATACGATACGCTATACACGAATTACAGCCTTCACGGATTATGAATACGCTAGCCAACTACCAGCGCATTCACAATAGCGATACCGTATCACGGATGGCAGCCTTCCCGATACGATACGTATCACGATGAGCCTTCACCGATACAATATCGTATCACGATAACAGCCTTTCACGATAGCGATACGTACACGATACACGCCTTCACAATCTGAACCATATCAAGATACGGACCTGCCCGTGATCCCGATTACGTATCGGCGATACTTTTGAGAGCAACTACGTAGCGAACCGATCGAGCCCGCGGGAAAGTGCGATCGGACCAGATTACGTTGATTGGACCCACCTGTTGTCGCCGCCTCTCTTTCTGATGACTGATCAATTTTTGTAACGTCGATGTGATTGGGCGGTCTCGTTTTCACAGCCCGAATCCAGAATCCTACAAAAAAACATACATACGCGTAAAAGTGTTAGGGTAGTAGCAAACTGCATCACGGTCATTCTATATATATATAGTATATATATAAATAAATCAATAGAGGTCGATAGTTCACATTGTCTACAATACGTAGCGCTTACTGCTGACAACCGCGTCGATATCACTCCTGAACGACACCCATCGTTTTATTATGCCCATCGAACAGACGACGACTTCTTACACAACATCTCTGCCCGATCAAACCAATTTACAGCAAAGAATACGCAATGAAATGTAAAAATTCGTTGTCTCAAAACTATGACATCTATTCGCTCTTTTATTTCACCATCTACGATTGACCACCACAGGTGCGCGCAGCCTTCGCCGAATAGTCGTCGTCTTCCGCTCCCCAGTTCCCAATAAATGATTCGAAAAGCCGTTCACTTTGTATGTTTTGAGACCGTCTCAGGGTAAACACGCCCGCCGGCTAATCGCTTGTACATCACGTCTGTCGAACGAAAACAGCAAGAGGCACAGTGTACAACCAGCAGAAATCATTATTGAGCTCACGAAACACAGCCGGAACTCCAGGCCAACAGCACCTCGTCACTTTGTTTTGTCACACCGCGACTTAAAACTAACGCACAGAAAAGCAGATACGTCAACGAGAAATCGCATATCGCCAATGCAATATCGCAAATGGGACAAAAACAAATATAAATCGCGCACACTAGACATCGGCAGCAAAAGATAAACCTAGGACAGACATGGCATAAAGACACCACTTCACCCCTGTGCCACAATTGTCCCGCGCTGATGTTGACACGATGTAAGTAGTATAGTCTCACTGCTAATAAAGTTGACAGTACCATATCTATCTTGTCGACCCCGGCGACAAGCGTGCGGCCTGATATTACAACATATAGATGTTCAACTCTATTCGGGTATTTAGGGTGCGACGTAATGGTAACAAGCAGTTCAAAATTCTCCAAACTCGTCGCTTACTGTTCAAACGCGAGTTCAATTGATTAGGCCACTTGGTTGAAGATATTCTGTCCAAGCTGGATAATCGTAAACTGTTGCAGTTGCAGATAGAATCGCCAATGTCATAAACAGATGACAAGGTTTTTACCACGCAAAGTTGCCTAAACTACAGACGATCACGTTATGTCGCTTTGGTGCTTTATTACGCCTACTGCTGCGAAATCTGATTACATAGAACTACTGCTGCCAAGACATTAATGACTTGGAGCATTACGAAGTGAAGTTATATTAAATTCGTGCCGATGTGGAACCCAGTGCAATTATTGCAATAGTTGACCGTGTACTGACGAACTTTTTTTCAGTGAACTTACCTGCCTCAACTGACAAAAATCCTTATCAACCATTTGATGCTGAAGCATGTGTAGTGCTTCACAGCAGACGCAGGTGCTGCCACTATCTCGATACAGGTTATAATTATGGCAACCTGTAAATGTGCAATGATTTACAATAAATGCCATAAAATTATGGCCATGTAGGTGCGTGGATGGAATATATTGCCCATGATACCCTTTTAAACAAAAACTTAGTACTTAGTCATCTATTTAAGACAGCAGTAGTTTTCATTCCTTAATCGAAATAGAAAATCGGACAACGAGTACAACTCAAACTTTTATTTTTTTTTTATTGAAATTGCATGAGCTTTATGTTGCATGCCCTTTAGAGTTGCTAACCGTCCTGTAACCCTAACAGTATCCTTTAATCTTACTTACCATTAAATACTAGCTACACATACAATAATGTCAATTATTCCTTCGCAATACACCATTCTCGCC